AAAAATTATTTTATTGAAAAACTTCGTTCACCTTCTAGGCAGAAAACAATATTGGTGGCAACAAATTTTGAAAATTGTAACAATAGCAATAGAGTTTTGAGAATTATAACAAAGTTGTGTAAATAAAAAAATCGAAAAATAAAAATAAAAAAAGAAGCCAAATAGCCTTTTTTTTTTTTTATATGCCACATCAACAACAACAGATGTAATAAGTGAAATTGTATAATTTTGTATTGAATAGAAAATGCCACGTCAACAACAACAGATGTAATAAATGAAACTGTTGTTATGAAACAATTAAAAGTATGGATGTCCCTTTGTATTCCCAAGAAGATTAATTCTTGCTTAATGGCTACATTATGTATAGAAGTTACAATCCATAAATCTATTCATGTAGTGGAAGAACCGTTTCATAGGTTTCTTCATATTCTTGTAATAGTGGGTGTTTAATAGGATTAATGTTCCTTTAATCTTGTAGTACCTATATATAGAGGTACATTGACACCCTTTGGTAGGACTTTTGTATTAGTTGGAATAATAAAATAACCACTCTTTATTTCTCTACTTTTTTCTCTAATATCTCCAATATTTCACTTGATATTATAGTGGTTTATTTTATTAGTTTTATAACAACTGTATAATTTTGTATTGAATAGAAAAGTGGGTAGAAAATATTCGACAGAGGACACTTAGGATCCTCGGTGACATGTTTTCAACTTGCGCAACGGATCTTCTGTACCACACCCTATCTCACATCCTGTCTCATTCCTTAGAATTTCGCCAAGTGTCCCTTAATAAACCAAACCCTCAAACAGCCCAACTCGAACCATATTAAGTTAATTAATCGATTAATCGGGCGAAGAAACTTAATCCCTTTAACCATTATAACCAAAACCAAGAAAAATAAAAACTTTTTAATCAAAATCACAGTTTATCAACGAAAAAAACCCTAAAATATTAAAAAATCTCTGTCCTCTCTTCATCATCTTCACCGTACTCTTACGGTTGTTTCAGCCTCTGCTTCACTGACGACTCTTCTTCTTCCTCCTTCGGATTCCTCAAAATCCATTTCCCTTTTCCCCCCTCCAACCCATCGATGGAATTCCAACGGCTTTTTCAAAATTGTCACCTGCGCTCCGCCGAAGCATGGCATTCACTCCACTGAAGCAATTGAAACTAGTATCGGGTATCAAGATGCTATCTTTATCTTTTGCCTTTCTAGAAAATCCAGATTGCTTTTTAGTGCCTATTGGACGAGTTTATTGCGGTTTCATTTTTTGTTCTCTCGGTTGCGGTTTTTTTTTTATTTGTGTTGCTTTTTTTTCTTTCTAGCTACGCAGGCCAATTTGATGTAATTTGCTTAGCTTAGGCACTTGATCTAGTTTTCAACTTCAAATTGGTATAGATACACACAGTTGAATTAGTTTTGCTATATCCTCAACTGCATGTGTGTAGTAGTAATAAATTGGTTATATTCTCTAGTGTCTCTGTTTTAGCGTTTTGGAACTTAGGTGTAGATGATGAAACTAGAGGGTAACAAGTTTGCCTTTATCTTTTGCTGATTAAGGGAATTTTTCTTCTAATTTGCAGCTTCCACTTCAAATGTTTCATCTGTTAAATTTTCTGAAAATTCGGTATGTACTGGACGAAGCTCACCAGCTGTTCGATCAAATGCCTAAGAGGAAGATGAATCAAACTATAAGGTAAAAGTCTGACTTGGTTGAGACTTGAGCCCATATTTATTAGGAGGGTGTTTTGCGTTTTATACGTTTGATTTTGTTTATTAGGACTACCTGTAGGCTTGTAATTAGTAGTTAGAAAATATGTTAAAGTTTGCATGATGGTTACCTTTTTGTGCTGGCACATGCGATCCTTGTCTCCCTTCTACTCTTTCGTGTCGCAATTTTATTTGATGCATTTGATAATTAGTCCATGAGTTGAAATTTTTATCAAATGCTGATTCATAATCTTAGATTAGTCGTAGTATTATTGATCAACAATGAATGGATGGTCTTTGATTCATAATCTTGATTAGTCGTAGTAGTATTATTGGTCAACCTGCTGGTTTCATTTGGGAAATCTATCTCTGTCTTTGGCAGATGAGATCATCTAAAACCTGATAAGGCCTAAAGGTAAGTGCTTCTAAAAAAAAAGCTCTTTTTTTTATTCTGTAACTATGAATTAAAGCCAAGAAACATGTGTGATCACTGTTTTCTCAAATGGTTTTCTGGTTTTGGTCTATATGGATAGAGGTGCCATCTTGACATGCATTAGTGTGACTAGTTACAGGGTTTATGTATTCATTCACTTCATTGTTACTGTTTACAAAGTTCAATGTTTATGAAAATTATGTAACTTAGATAATTGTAATCTCTTATTTGCAGAATGTTATGCATAATGAAGCTTCAATCATGTAAAGCTTGTAACTTTTTCCCTAATACTGCAGGGGTATCTGATATGATGATAGGTTTTTGCAGTCAACTGGAACTGATTCGTGTTACTGCATCTGAGACTATGGAAGCCTATATCATTCTGTGCAACCTTGATGATGGACAAGAAGAGCAGGAGAGGAAAAGGTTCTTGCGTGGAGGAGGAGGAGTGGGGTAAGGCAGAGCCATCAACTCTCAAGAATTCGCCGGAGAACAAACTAAGGGAGGCTCTCGAGGAGGCTTCTGAAGATGGGTCACTTCGTAAAAACACATGAAATTCACTCTGAGTCTTTGAATCAAGATGGCTGCTTGGGAAGGTCAATATCTCTTGCAAGGCTTAATGCCCAGAAGGAATTCTTGAGGGCAACTACTCTTTTGTCTGAAAGGACATTTTGCATTGAAGAATCCATTCCTGGCTTTAATGAAGCCTTCTTGTTGGTTCTTGACTTTGTACCCAAAGTTCCAATGTTGAGAAACAATTGACCATTTGAGAATTGACTTTGTACGGGTTGTTTTTTTGTTTTCAAACGCTACAGTATTGGGATTCATCTATATTTAGCTTAAAGGAAATTACTGCAAATTTGAGCAATCATGTACTTCATTGGTGTGCAGAGGAAGGTACTGTGGAGCATGATATTAAAACCAAAATTATGGATTACTTGAACATTCTTGAGAATGAGTTTGTACTTGTTTTTACTATTAGTAGAGGATCTGCATTTAAATTGTTGCTGAATCTTATCCTTCCCATTCGAACAAGAGGCTGTTGAATATGTTTGACCATGGGAGCCAGACTGTGAGTTGGATGGCTCAATGTGCTAAAGAGAAGGGTGCAAAGGTGTACAGGGCCTAGTTTATGGACATATTTTGGGAATTTCAGCATTGTTATATGGATTATATATACAATTTGGTGTCAACAGTCAAATACGAGATTGGTCCCGAGTTGTTTAGAATCAGAGAACAAGTTTTCGGAGTACCTTTAACATGAATGACACAAAAAATGAGTTAAAAAAAAAGGATGGAGAGAGAGCAGAGGTCTCTCGTTCGGGTCCAATATTATACCATGCATCAGTTTCAGATAATTCTGGTCAATTACCCACTAAATAAAACTCAAACAAAGAAAATTATTCCTAGCAGAAAAGGCCACTCAAAATCAAAATCTGATCAGTCATATTCTCACCCTTGCCATCCCTGTATGTAGTGAGTTGTGAAACTTAGCATCTAATTAGTCTCTTCCATCAGTGAAACCTCATCAACCTGGTACGAAATTCATGGCCAAATAAATCCTGGGAGTGTCCCTATAGATTTTTATAAATGGAAACAAACTACGTGCAATTTCACAGACGAAAGGTAGCCCAGGCATTAGGATCCTTGTATTCACAATGCAATGTAAACAGACCACGAAGTCTAAAAAGCAAAACATTAATCAACTTAAATCAATTGAGATTTCAACTGCGCAAAGTGGAATAAGGCTGCATTCTGGTTCTTATTAAAGTTCAAAATGTATGTTATTCGAATTAAGCTACAATCCTACCATGTAAAATCTCAGAGATAAAAAGATCCAATTCCAGCTATCAAGCTCAAGAATAACCAAGCTGATCATCCACCATAATCAAAAGAACTACACAAATAAGGTCTAATTAATCCATGAGCGCAATCCCACAGTCTTGTCCTCCATTTCTTCATAAGCATCTTCATTCAATTTTCCCATTTTCAACAACTTGTTGATCAGAATCATCATTATTTTCAAGTTCTTGCGCCTATAAAAACAGACCCAAAGTTAGCCAATATATTGAATTATAATTGTAAATTATCAAACTAATATATATAAGATTAAATAATTAATCAAGGTTTTTCCTTACTTGGACAAAACTTATTGATGCATGCTGTTGTGCTATTGAACTTGAAGACATCAAATCATAGCCTTGGTAGAAGTTAGGGTCCAACGTCTGTCAGAAAAATAAGAAATAAAAGACCACACATACAAACAAAAGATAAAGGCAAACTTGTTACCCTCTAGTTTCATCATCTACACCTAAGTTCCAAAACACTAAAACAGAGACACTAGAGAATATAACCAATTTCTTACTACTACACACATGCAGTTGAGGATATAGCAAAACTAATTCAAATGTGTGTATCTATACCAATTTGAAGTTGAAAACTAGATCAAGTGCCTAAGCTAAGCAAATTACATCAAATTGGCCTGCGTAGCTAGAAAGAAAAAAAAGCAACACAAATAAAAAAAAAAAATCGCAACCGAGAGAACAAAAAATGAAACCGCAATAAACTCGTCCAATAGGCACTAAAAAGCAATCTGGATTTTCTAGAAAGGCAAAAGATAAAGATAGCATCTTGATACCCGATACTAGTTTCAATTGCTTCAGTGGAGTGAATGCCATGCTTCGGCGGAGCGCAGGTGACAATTTTGAAAAAGTCGTTGGAATTCCATCGATGGGTTGGAGGGGGGAAAAGGGAAATGGATTTTGAGGAATCCGAAGGAGGAAGAAGAAGAGTCGTCAGTGAAGCAGAGGCTGAAACAACCGTAAGAGTACGGTGAAGATGATGAAGAGAGGACAGAGGTTTTTTAATATTTTAGGGTTTTTTTCGTTGATAAACTGTGATTTTGATTAAAGAGTTTTTATTTTTCTTGGTTTTGGTTATAATGGTTAAAGGGATTAAGTTTCTTCGCCCGGTTAATCGATTAATTAACTTAATATGGTTCGAGTTGGGTTGTTTGAGGGTTTGGTTTATTAAGGGACACTTGACGAGATTCTAAAGAATGGGACAGGATGTGAGACAGGGTGTGGTACAAAAGATCCGTTGCGTTCAACTTGGCTTGATTTAATACAAGTTTAAATAATAACATAACACTTTGCGCAATACTATTGATGGCATTGGATTGGCATAGAAAACATGTCACTGAGGATCTCAAGTGGCCAGAAGATCCTCTGAAAACTCCAGGCTCTGCCTCTCCTCTTTGATATAAATATGAACCTCCTTCGTCGGCTTCGTCGTCGATAAGAATTGATCGAAGCTCTCAGTACAATCAGCTCTCTTCTTCAAAAGCCGTGATACATAAAAAAACAGCAGCATTGTCATCAATTTTCCTCAAAAACATCCGAAATGTCGCTCATTCGAAGCCTCTTCGGTGGCCGACGGGGCAACGTGTTCGACCCATATTCCCTGGACGTTTGGGATCCCTTCGTAGGCTTGGCTTTCACAGACGCTAGTCTGGCCAACGTCCCAAATACAGCAAGCGAGACATATGCATTTGCTAGGCCCCGCATTGATTGGAAAGAGACCCCGGAAGCTCACGTCTACAAAGCCGATCTTTCGGGGCTGAGGAAGGAGGAAGTGAAGGTGGAAGTTGAGGAATGCCGGGTGTTGCAGATTAGCGGAGAGAGGAGGCGGGAGCAAGAGGAGAAGAATGACAAGTGGCAGATGGTAGAGAGGAGGAGCGGGAGATTCGGGCGCAGGTTCAGGCTGCCGGAGAATGCCAAGGCGGATCAGGTGAGGGCTAGCATGGAGAATGGTGTGCTCACCGTCACTGTGCCGAAAGAGGAAGCGAAGAAGCCTGAGGTCAAGGCCATTGAGATCTCTGGCTAAATGCTTTTAGATGGCTAAGCCTAGTGGAAGTTTGTCTTTGTCTTGAAATGGTTGAGATGTCTCCGTCTGCCTGCATGACTGTGGTTGCTGCATGGATGATGATGAATTTTGTTTAATGAGTCGCGAGTGAGTAGGCTTTGGTTTGTTTTGAAATGAAGCATCGATAAATACTCAATTCTTGCCACCGTCTTCTAATGAGTAGGCTAAATGAACTCAACTTGGAATGGATTCTACCTGCAGCCAAAAGAATGGAGTGATTGTGATGCTGAATTAGGAATTTAAAGGAGGTTCTTGACATTTTAAACCTTCTTCTCAAGATCTGCAAGTGTTTGTAGCAGCGATTGATTTCAGAATTTTCACAACACAGAAACAATTCACTGGATGAATTACGGCTTCCTCCTAGCCAAGACCTTGTCATCGTAGATTGCGTGAATTGCTTTCCTCCGTAAACAGTCAATTCGAGAATCAGACTGAACGCTCAAACCCATATTTTCTCTAGTATCCAACGGTAATTTGATGCTCTGTTCTCGGCGAGTTCATTTAGCTGCCAGCCAATTGGCTAATCTCTTTCACCTGCTTCTTTAGAGCATGAATGACGGTATTATAGCAGAATAAATCAATTGTGGGTGAAAGACATTCAGGGCGCCGTAAGTACATTTGCTGATTACCCCGCCATCAATCATTCTGTTTCTTCTTCACATCCCGTCTTGTCAATCAATAGCAGGCTAGAGATGCAAATACACTCTCCCTCTTTTACGCCAACTCCAAATTTTACTAGTGGAAAGTCTTACTACCAGAATATGCTGTCAAAACTATCGTAAACAGTTTTGTCAATGGCCACACAAGTTTTATTCATCTTTCGGCCGGTATAAATCCAAAGTCCAAAACCCAACATCAAAATCAAAATTTAAAAAAAAAAATAATAATCAATTATTAACAAATTAGACGATCCAATTTGCTAGCTAGTTACTGCGTTGTAACATTATCCAGTTTCCAAAGATACCTGAAACTTAGATGCAAAGTCACTAATCTCACAAGAAACTAGTCCAAAAAAGGGAGAATGTGATACTACCAAATTATAACCCGTAGTTCGAGTCATTCTCTGATTGCCATTAGACAGTAATAGATACACCACCGCTTCCCCTAGCACTAACAGAAGCGAACGCATCCACATCCATTCCACTGACGGAATTCGCCAATTGGACCCTAAAAACTTACTACTATGGACATAAGCACTAGTACGACGGGAAAAAAATGAAAAGAAAGAAAGACAAGGACGCAGACATAACAGAAACGACGACTCGGAAATCAGCCAGAAATTTCAATGGACTTGACATCAGGCTTCCTGATTTCTGCTTTAGGGACAGTGACGGTCAGAACCCCATTCTCCATCGATGCCTTGACTTGTTCCACTTTAGCATTTTCAGGGAGCCTGAACCTCCTCATGAATTTCCCGCTGCTCCTCTCCACCTTGTGCCACGTGTGGCCCTTGTCCTCGATTTCCCTCTTCCTCTCCCCACTGATCTGCAAGATCCTCTCGTCCTCCACCTCCACCTTGACCTCCTCCTTCCTCAGCCCCGGCACGTCCGCCTTGAACACGTGGGCATTTGGGGTCTCTTTCCAGTCGATGCTGGCGTGGGCAAACGAGGCAGTCTCAGATGAGGAGGACGGAAAGGTGGTGCGGAGCTGACCGGAGAATGGGCTAAAGTCGGAGTTGAAAGGCCAGCCCTGAAATGGGTCCCAAATTTCATCGGGAGTACTGGATCGGCGGCCGAAGAAGCTTGGAACCATCGACATTTTTTTCCTCTCACTCTTAGGAGTGTTTACGGGTTGTTCTCTTAGCGAAATCTGCAGTGCAAAATCAACGGGTTGATCGAGAAGGTAATTGGCGGACCTGGCCACTATTTACATGGTGTTTTGGATAAAATTTGTGCGAGTTGCAGAACGTTCTCGAACAAGTTGTCTCGCATCTTTTCATTTGCCCTTTTTCATTATCGGTTTAATTGCTAATAGTATTTTTTTTTTTTTTGGCCGACATTACTCGTGTGCCCATTAAAAAATGTCTATGGTTCAAGTAAATAGGGTAGTATTTTCAATTTTGAGGGGAGAGCATAAAAAATTTGGAATTTTCTGGTACCTAATGAATTTGTCACACTAAACTTTTTCTGAAAATCGGATTTTCACTTTCTAATGCACAGTAATTAGGGGTTCGACTTTCGTCATATTTCGCATTGATGTCGCCAAAGTGGTGCCCCACCGACTAATACTAAAATAGTTTAGATATCTACATTGTTAAAAAATAATAAAAATAAATAAATCTGGCAAATATTTTGTTAAAGAAAATACCAAATTCGTTTCACTTAGCTCGTAAACATTGACCTATCAATCAAATTGGGGTGCAAGTTAAAACAAACGCACATTGATTACTTTCTAGCAGTAGAGCAATAGATTTTTAACGCACATTTTTTTTGTTAGTGTGATAAGACTCCCTCCATTTAGTGTAACTCTTTCATATTCATGTTCTATATTCGGGTGTATCAGCGCTATCGAATATTCTAATGATTAAGTGATAAAAATAAAATAAAGGAAGCCCAAATAATCGAGTTACCATGCTGGTGCCCGAGAAGCATTGAATTATCTCAAAGATATATATATATATATATATAGATGAAACAACTTTAGAAAAAAAAATACTTGTGATGTTCAATCCTTGAATTCTAAATCATCTAGGATTGATGCTGGACTGAGTAGTTTGACCGAGCTCGCAAACTATTTGGTCAGCAGCTCGCCTCGAGCTCGCTTTGATCAAACTTGAGCTCGAGCTCGAACTGCTTGATAGAAGCAATGAGTCAAGCTCGAGTTTTAACGTTTTGCATTCGGAAATTCGACGAGCCTAATTGACCTTCTTATAATATATATTTTAATTTTTATTATTGTAAAATATCAATAATATCCTTTATTAAAAATTATATATAAAATATTAATTTTTATTACGTGAGTTTGATTAGGATTGATTGAGCTCGAATATGCTTGATTGAACTTGATTTGAATTGATTACATTTAATTAAACTCGAACTCGAGTAACGTAAATTGATGTCGAGTTCGAACTCGAGGTCGAATTCTAAAAGTTCGATGAACTCGAGTTAGATCTCGAGTTTAGTTATTTTACCTCGAGCACTGCTCAAGCTCGACTCGACTCGAACGCATCCTAGACACATCTATAATAATGTCATACAGTGTCCTGTACCGTGGTTCTGTATGTACAAAAATAACCACAGGCTAAATTTACAATTCCTCGTCGTCATCTTCGATTGTTTCTAGATCATCCTCATCGATGGCCGCAACTTTTGCAGCACTCTTTGCTGCTGCACTGACTCTAGAAGAAGCATTTGGTCGAACCTTGAAGGGCGATTTTGCATTTCGTGATACCCTGCTGCTAGGAACAATGCCACAGCCTTCATCTTCTTTCTTCAAGTCGGCTGGAGGCAGAAAGCAATCAATGCTGAGTCCCTTTATGTTGAAATCAACTTCTTCAATCGTCCAAACCTCTTCCATCCGCGTCCGGGTGCGGCTTTCAGAGTTTTCTCCGAACCTCAACAGCGATACGCATGTTCTTCCAGCATGGGCTACATTAACACCATCAATAGTCCGATAATCTTGTATCGTGGATTCCATTGTTGTCTCCCATAAAACGTCGTTTCCAGGGGCCTTTATTCTCAGGAGATGAGAGTCTTCCAGCTGGAGTAGCAGGCCTGTTCTTTGGCTGAAGTAGCCCCAAACACTATGTCTGATTATTTCCACATTGCTGCTGCTTCTGGCTCTGAGTGTTGAAGGATCTGCCTCGAGTTTTAGTACAAAGCAATCCTCATCATAGACAGTCTTCTCACCAGTGCAGATGGAATTGGAGAATAAGTTGGCCGTGGACCTTGGATCAAGACCCTGTTGGAGGATGATTCAATAGAATCGATTAGCTCAATTTCTTCAATAGTAATAAACCCACAGCATAGTTTATCTTCAATAGTAATTATATC